GGAGAGCTTCTTTGTAGGACGGGCATAACAATGAGTCTGCCGAGTGATTGCAAGCAAAGTCAGCGCTCCTTTCTTGGTTGGAAAACGATGCAACAAAATCAAAAAGCAAAGGCTAAATTACATTCTTATTATATTTTTAAGATTCATGGATGATCATCCAAATGAAAAACTCAATACAAAAAATTTTATCTTTATAAAAACTTACACCTGTAGGCACACAATAGCATACAGTAGTGAATCAAAATATTGTAGAAAAATCTAAAAAGAGGAATAAAATTTTTTATTTGCTATTACTTTTTAACAGTTTTCCTTTATTTGCTTGTCCCAGAACATGTAGCAAAAAGTCAAATTCCCAAAGCAAATAACACATGATGACAGAAACTGAAAATTAATCTATGCAGGCCTGAAAAGTAGTAATGAATTTTAGTAGCTGGAATTCATTTTATATGGAACTTCCACTGAAATGAATTAAAAGAATATCAGTTGCAAATACACTTTTTTATATAAGGCTTTAAAAAGAAAATGATTACATGCTTTTTTTTCCCTCAAATAGTGATCCTAAACAAGGATCACAATTTAGACAGTTACAAAGTTTCTTCGAATTAGGAATAAAATTTTACAGAAACAATTTCAGACACTCTGAATGGGAGTATTCTATAAAACTAAATTTTAACTTTTTGTGTGGATGCTCCAGAGAATATGGATATCCATTTGTAGAAGACTGATTATGGTTTAGCAAGTTAAATGTTTTATATCTTTGTATACTAAATTCACAGAAATGTATTTAATAAATATGCATAAGGGACAAATGCAAATTTAATACTGAAGATCATTTTATCCAGGATAGACTTATCAACTTTCGGAGACTGACATTGTTTTCTAGGTCAAGATATTTGCCCTCATTTGATTTATATTAGCTTGTTATTTAAAATATTTTATTTTGTTTAACAATCTAACTGCCATCCTAATAAATAGAAGTATATGAAAACAGACTGAAGTAAGTAATTATACAAATCGAACAAATAAATATTGTTTAAATACCGCTCTTCCTAAACAGATTCAGAAGGCTGTTCAGGAGGTTAATCCCCTAATGAACAACTTTTGTTTCATTACTGTATGCATTGAAATAAAATAGTCAGATACATGGAAAAATGACTTAAGTTTGTAAATTTGCTTTTTAAATGTTTTAAAGTTAAAAGTTGTAGGGTTTATATTTATTTTAACTAACATTTTATTTTAAATTTAAACTATCTTTCCTGTCAAGCCTTACTTTCCCCTGGAACTGCCAATGCCAGAGTATGTAAATTTTTAGTAGAACGCGCAAGGATTCAAATTATCAGCGGAAGTATTCTGAGTTAAATAGAAAGGAAACGAGTTCGAAGTGTGCTTTTCTTACTTCACGAGCGCGGAGGTAGTTAGTCAGAAATTGAAGAACCACGCGTTTCAGCCTGTGTGCTTGCCTCGGCAAATTGTTAATCTTTCAACGTAATCTTCAGAGTTTGCTGAATTATCAGCGGTACTTTAGAACACGGTGAGGTTAGTTACGTTTAGAGAGCCTCGTAGTTAGTACCTGTTAGTATCTCCTTTTTAGTTTCTTATTTTTATTTTACTGCCGGGTCGGCGTAGTTTGTGAGCGTCAAGAGCACGCAATTGTAATTTCTAAAGTTGAATAAAAAGGGACTTAAACCCTTCTCAAGACTCTGTCTAATTTCCAGTTTCAGCAGTCACCACTTTTTTGCGTGCAGGTTGGAGGCACGCAACTTTACAAAGTATATGATTTTTGTTTATAGCCCAGTAAAGTATAATAAATTGTTCAGAGCTTTAAACTCTGGAAATAAACAAGAATACTGATTTTATTTTTAATAAACAAGAATACTGATTTTATTTTTATAAAACCATCTAAACACAGTGTTAAAACTGCTCTCGAAAAATTATTCTTCTTGTTTAAAGAACATGACTGAAAATAGGATCAATATTTATGAAAGAAAAGCATTCTCAAAACCTGCTTAAAATAATGCAGGAGCTGGAGTACCTAGAAAATTCCAGATCTTAGTTGTACATGCATCTAATAACAATATATTAAAAATGTTTTGAACCTTAGAAAATTCCCAGTTTATAAAATCCAATTGTTTAATTCCATTCGAGTTACCTGCAAGTTGGAAAAACAAAATGCAAAATGACACGGCTATTATAAATATGAACATAACTTATAATGTGTTTGATGATTGCTGAGAAATACAGTTTTAAGTTAAGCTATTGAGGAGCTACTATCAATTTCTGTTTCATTTTTATGATAGTATTGTTTATAAATTATCAAACATATTCTTTAGGATTACATAAAAGATGATATTTACTTAATCACATGTAACACTGGAAAAATGGTATTTATTGATTTGGTGATATCAAATAACATATGAATGATCAGTAGATACATTGTTTTTTTAACTACATTCTGAAAAGCTTGGAAATAAAAACAGGAATACAAAAAACATTTTAATGTATACGTAAGTTAGATATTACGTTGTGCCATCTGTCCTAATCATTTTTCATTTAATTGCTTGGTTAGCATGCCTGCAAGGATGTGTAATGGAATGAATGCTCTTCCTGGATTACCTTTATCAGATTGTTTTCAAAAAGTGCAAAATGTTATAGAAATTCATGGCAGATTGCATAATGAGTATGAAAAAGTACATGAATGATAATGTTACAACTAAATGGCAACAGGAAAAGGATGAATAGATAGAAAGATTGGAGAAAAGAATCTATGGTGGTTTATAAACTCTTATAACAAAAATGCTTAACAGCTACTATTATAACAAATGTTTTAATTGTGAAAGCAACTCAGCAGATAAATAATGTTAGCGTACATCTAATTTTTGAATATATTGCAACTTTTTCCTTTCATTTTTATTTTTGATGCTGTAACATAATTTTAAACTAAAATTTAAAATTCTGTAAATTATTTTATAATGGCAATTTTTACAACAGTCTGGTAATTATCACACTAATTAGCTGCATATTTAACTGCCATGAATTTATTACATTAAACTAGGAAATTAACTTTTCTAAGCATATGTGTATTCTCTGCTTAGAATGTGTAAATTTGTGAGACACAAAAGAGAAAAAAAAAAAAAAAAATTATATACTGATTTAAAATGCTAATTAGGATACTGACTAAAAATTTTTTTCAAGCAAATTGAACTTCTGCTTCAATTTCTGTTCCTTGTAGAAAACACATGAAAAACTTTTTCAAATAATAATAGTAATACAGTCAAAAGTCGTTAATTCGGACACCCATAATCCGGACCTCAAAGCTAAAAACTTTCTGTGCATGCGCATAGGCGTTTACGTGTGCGTGTAAGACCTTTACGACTGCACATTTTTTGGCTTTAGTTTTTCCACATGCAAATTTTGATTGGAGGTAAGCTAACGTGGTTGCCGCTGATTGGCTGATGACGTCAAGATCAGCGGGTGGCCGAGTATAATATATATGTACGCCGGTATCGGCGAAGCTTGTTCTTGTTCTCTTGTGTGATTATCAGTTAGCATTATGCTAGTTTGCTTTTCAATCAAATGATTTTAAATGTAAAGGCTACAGTGTTAGCTCTTTTATTTACGGAATAAAGCATGAATTTTATTTAGTTTAGTCTTAGCTTTATTTAAGGAAAGCAAAATATGCTTTGCCTTTATCACCACTATTAACAGGTAGTGCTTCAATTTCTGTTCCTTGTAGAAAACACATGAAAAACTTTTTCTAATAATAATAGTAATACAGTCAAAAGTCATTAATTCAGACACCCATAATCCGGAATGATCTATAATCCAGACCTCAAAGCTAAAAACTTTCTGCGCATGCGCATAGGCGTTTACGCATGCGCGTAAGACCTTTGCGACTGCACATACGGGTGTGCGCAAGCGCAGAATACGTTTTCGCGTGCGCGTTTAATGTATAACGGTTGGTATAAACTAAAATTATCTAATTATCTATTTCAGTTAATGTTAATGATTGCGTTATTCCTTAATCTTCGAATTGGATCCGGCTTATTATTTTTTGCAGACTGTAAGAGCAATTTTATAAAAGTAAGCTTGAACTTTCGATTATGTCAAATAGAATTTCTGATGCTGGAGCTCGCAAAGGATCTACAAAACAAAAGTATGTTTCGATGTCCATGAAACAAAAAGTTTAATTGCTGCAAAAAATGGATAATAAGGCATATCCTTTGTTTATCTAACCGTTCCGAAATCTGTTTATCAATTTCACGCTGCTCTGCACAGGGGGGAGGGGGAACATCCTCGCGCGCAATGAACTGGAAGTTGATCTGTCAGCACTATCAATATCTTCAGGGCAGATGTTTTTATTTTATTCAGCTTATAATTCTTTACTAAATGTAGTATTTCCTCTCGATGTACTCCGTCTTTGATATGATTTAAATCAAATTCCTCGTCATTATAAATATCACGAATACAAATCAAATAGTTTTCTGGTTGCAATTTTCTAATTTCGGCTATGCGAAATGTATGCTTTACGCATGTGCGCATTGAAAGAAATGTTTAATAAAGTAAACAAATAAATATTAAGCTTTTTTTTTTTGTAAATTTTGATACCCTTTAGATCATAATTGCTCATTATTTTATAAATTATGGTTTCATATTTTTAATTTTATTATTTCTGCATGCCATCTTACCAGATTTAAACTGATGATCTATAATCCGGAAAAATCGATAATCTGGAATCGCCGAAGTCCCGATGTGTCCGGATTAAAGACTTTTGACTGTATATATTGTATTTCACTACATATTTGTAAGTAAATAAAACATATTTAAAATTATATATATATATATATATTCAAGCTGTGTACATGTAGGTAGCAACATAGCTAGTTACATGTACTACAAAATGGCTGACATGTATTTGATTTATGACATGGCCAACTGCAATAGACGTGAAGCCGTGCAAATGTATCATGAGAAATATCCTGATAGAAAGGTGATTTGCCACTCATTATTTGACACTCAGCATAGATGACTGAGCGAAATGGCTTGTTCAATGTGCATAAGCAGGATGCTGGTCACCAATGAAGAACTCGGACAGTTTTTTCAGAAGAAAGCATTCTCCAAGAACTGGAATGTAATCCCTTAACACGTATATGAGTTGTACCCCCAGATACACTTATATCCCCCATCCTACCTACTATCTGATGCATTTTACATGATGAAGGACAGCATCCTTTTTATTTACAATGCATCCAGGCACTGGAATCGGAATACTACAGCAAACGCATGGAATTTGCATGGTGTTTTTGCGACAAAATGCTGCAGACTGAAACTTTACAGCAAGTGTTAGTTTTCTTCACTAATGAGGCTATGTTCTCATTAGAGGTAAGATGAATGTTCGCAACTTGCATACTTGGGCGGATGAAAACCCACATGATACATATACGTATGCCTCACAGTGCAAATTTATCCTCAATATGTGGGCTGGCACTGTCGATGACTGTGCTTGGTCCATACATTCTCCCATAAAGACTTGACAGTGGTATTTACCTTGCATTCTTGCAAGAGTTTCTGCCAGACATGCTGAATGACATTCCTATGCCCATTCATATATATAAATTTAATACTTAAATACACATTTATCATTTTGATAGTTTTCAGAACACTTAAATATGCTTACATTATTTTTTTATTTAGAAGAACATTATTATCTGCATCACCAATAATTATATAGAAGCCAGTGTTCGCCATAAATTTTTTTCTTTTCTGTAGATCTTCAACATTTGCAAGCATAACTGTAATACATACAGTAACAACTGCATTTTGAATGGTAAAAGTCTGGAATGAAAATAAAATAAAATTAGATTTTCTTCTATATCCTCTAAAGTAATATATAATATTTTAAATGTTTAATCATTATAAATTCTGTGTAAATTTTTTTTTTCTCCCGAATATTTACTAACTGATGTTAGGACCATAATATTAGTCACACAGAATAATAGGTAAATACCTGCTCAACTTCAATGCCATATTGTGGCAATTGCTTGGCACCATCTATTAAAACTGAGCCAAATGGTGGGTTCCGATTCAGAATCTATGAAGAAAGAAACTATGAATCAGTACAAATTTTACTTTTGTTTCTTTATTTAGTTTATTAATTTAATACTAACTGTAACTTATTTCATTTATGTTTCTTTTATACATCAGTATGTATAAACAAACGAGAAGGATGGACTGTCATGTAGTCCTATATCACTTTATTAACAGAAAGTTTCCTGTAATGGAAGTGAACATTATTATTTGTGGAATTGCCACAGCTACTGGTAATTTATTCACAAATAATCTCAATTTGATCTTACTGTGAATGTGTTGTTTGGAAATTATTGACGTAAATTTCCCCTTTTAATTTTTTACAATAAAATTAGCCTCCCCCCAAAAAAAAGAGAGGGAGGGGAGGGGAACAACATGAGTAGGTATGGTGCATTTTATTTGTTTGATTCCTTTTGCATCACATCTTATTTTTTAAAACCACTATTTAAAGGAATAATATGCAATAATAGTTATATAATAATTAATGCAATAAACTGTACAACTATTATTTTAAATATTCCTATTGGGCAAATAAACAAATTTATCTTCTCTTTTATTCTTTTCATTAATTTCTGCATTTGTTACCTTCATAACTGCATATATTTAAAAATGTTTTAAGTACAGTTCTGCATGAAATGAAAGTCAAAGCTTTCATTATGTTTCAATTTTGTATATTCATGTGAAATTTATGTTAAAAATATTAATCTAGTTATATACAAGTATACTTCTTTACTTGCGTTCTTGAAGTGTACTTCTTTATAACTAAATTTTCTACAGAATTCAACTGAAATGATCAAACAACCAAATAAGTTTGCAAACTCAATGTTCAATTCACATGCTTAAGAAAACTAATGGAATGAATACTTTGAATTAAAATAAACTGTTCCATTTTATTTTTAATATGATTTATACATTTTCTTATGCTGCACACATCACTATCAGCAATTATTCAAATGTTGTAAGACTAATTATGAACAGATTGTTAGAAGAATTGAAGTACAATACAGATTTTAATAAGCTCTTTTAATAATTTATTTTGGTGACAGTATACAAAAAGTCCTTATACATACAAATATACATATATTGTTTATTATGCAATACACATATAATGAACATATTGGATTTTAACGAAAGTTTCCTGCCACCGCAGATATCGTCTGTGTAAACAGTTCATTCATGTTACCATATTTAATCATATTTTGTCAAACGATTTTTGGGCATTTGAAAGAAAGAGACTTGCTTTAGAACACTGTGTTGTGAAATTTGTAAAGAAATATCATTATCATTAATTACAAGGTGTCTGAAATGGAACTATCATGCTACCAGATTAGAATCGTCATTTACTTCCAGTTCTGTTGCCAAGGTCAGCTACAGAATGTCACCAAACCATGTGTACAGCTTTAGGTACTAATGTTATATCGCATGACACTATGAAGATTTGGTACTGTCGTGTTGCCATGGAAACACCGTACAAAGTTTAGAGTGTTCTGCGCATGCACGCCTCGAATGAGCGGCGGAGAGTGAGGAGAGAGTGGTGTGCATGAAGCGGGAATTTCCCTTCTCATCGGAATGTCATTATTATTGTGTTAAATAAAGTTTATATATTTTATACTTATGTCTTGCCTCACCTTGGAACCACTACATTGGTGACCAACGTTGGACAACGCACATCTTTTGATCATTTCTTGAAATTTGGACAAAATACGAAAATGGAACTAAACAAAAACATCATCAAAAATGGATGAAATATCAGTAGTGAAAATACCTCCTTTCATTCCTTCTGATCCGTCTCTATGGTTCACGATGGTGGAATCTACTTTTGAATTAGTGGTTCCAAAGGCTATAACAGAATCCAGAACCATGTATAACCACTGTGTGGCGCATTTACCTCCCGACATCGCTATGACCATGAGCGATATCATCATTTCTCCTGACAATACAGATCCATATGGGCAACTGAAGAATGAAGTCATTTCTCACTGTGGTGAAAGTAAATCGCAGGAAATACATCGCTTACTTGCCAGTGAGCAACTAGGGGATCGAAAGCCATCTGAACTCTTACGCGTTATGCAGCAGCGTGCAGAAAATCCTAATGTGATGGATACATTTGTTTTAAATTATTTCTGCAGCAACTACCTACAAATGTGCAATCTATTTTAGCATCAATCACCCCTTTAACCACACAAAAGGCAGCTGAAATAACGGATAAAATAATGGAAGTGCCATCTGCTCAGGTAAGCGTAGTTTCTGATTCTTGTGCATCATCTAGTGTTACACTGAACTCTGAACTGCTTAAAGAGATAAAATTGCTTCGCAAGGAAGTTGCATTTCTATGACGTTCAAGAAGTCATTCTCGTAATCGTAATTTTCGTCATGCAACAAATCGTGAGAAATCCTCTGAAAAAAAGTGATCCATGTTGGTACCACTAAAAATTTGCTTCTAGAGCAAGAAGGTGCACTCCCCTTGCAACTTTCAGGGAAATTTCCAGGGCAAGGAGTAGCAGCGACATACACCTCACCTTTTAGTTCTCGTCGCCTATTTGTTCGTTATTGCAAGACCAATATTAATTTTTTAATTGATACAGGTACTGATTGTTTCTTAATTCCAGCCTCAAGATCTGTTAAAATGACTACTCCTATTCAAACTTCTCTGGCTGCAAATGGTACTAAGATAAATGTATATAAACAAAAGTTATTATCTTTAGATTTAGGTTTAAGAAAACAGTTTGTTTATCCTTTTTATGTATACAATGTTCAAACTGCTATAATTGGTGCAGATTTTTTTACATTATTTTAACCTACAACCAGATCTTAGAAATCGTCGCTTAAACGATAATTACACCAAATTAAAAATTCTTATGGTATTTAACATGTTGCTAGTATATATTCAGTGAAATCTGTAATTTGTAATAATTATTATGCTAAGTTGTTAAATGAATTTCCTCGTATTGTTCAAGCTTCTTGTGTAAACCAAATTGTCAAACATTCAGTTCAGCATCATACTGAAACTTTTGGCCCTCTTTTGCCAAACCACGCTGGCTTGCACCCGATCGTTTGAAAATTGCAAAAATGGAATTTCAACGTCTGTTAGATTTAGGCCACATTCGCCCATCCAACAGCAATTATGCTTCGCCATTGCATATGGTCCCTTAAAAAAAGATATGAATGATTGGTGTCCTGTCGGTGATTTTAGAGCCCTTTAATGCTCAGACTAAAAAGGACAAATATCCAATCCCTAGTATTATTGATTTCACAAGTGAACTCCATGGGTGCAACATATTCTCCCATGTAGATTTAGTCAAAGCATTTCATGAAATTCCAATTGCTCCTGAGGATGTCCATAAAATTGCTATCTGCACACCATTTGGACTTTTCGAGAGTATTCAGATGCAATTTGGTTTGTGCAATGCATCAAGAACTTTTCAAAGGTTTATCAACGAAGTGACAAGAGGTTTAACTGGTGTATATGCATTTATTGATGATATTTTGATTGCCTCAAAAAGTCACAAAGAGCATATTAACAATCTATGAGCTCTCTTTCAAAGATTAGATCATTATGGTTTAGCAATCAAACCCTCAAAGTGTACATCTGGAGTTCTTACCTTAGATTTCTTAGGATATAAAGTCTCTAAAGAAGGTATTTCTCCCAGTCCAAATCGAGTTGATCCCATTTCTAAATTTCCTAGACCAACAAACTTAACATAGCTTTGCAGATTTCTTGGCCTATTCAATTTTTATCGCAGATTTGTGCCACATGCAGCGCACATTTTGTCACCTTTAATTAAGCTTCTCGAAGGTCATTCTAACAAAAAGAAATCATTCCGTCCAACTACGAAGACTGAAAATCTTCTCCCGTAGTCTGAGGATGGCGAAAAGGCATTTTTAGCAGCTAAAGAAGCTCTTACAAAAGCTACCCTCTTAAGACATCCAATTCCTGGTGCTCAACTCAGTCTTTGGACCGATGCATCTGATGTTGCTATTGGCAGCTCTTTCATGCAACTCCAAAATGGTCAATGGGAGCCAATAGCATTCCTTTCTTTAAAATTGAATAACAGTCAATGGAAATGGTCTACATATGACCATGAACTTCTGGCAATATATGAGTCTATCAGGAAATTTCGGCACATGTTAGAAGGTCGCAACTTCATCATATTTACCAACCAAAAATCACTAACATTCGCTTTCAGACAAAAAGCAGAAAAGAACTCTCCTTGACAACTGAGACACCTTGACTATATCTCTCAATTTTCCTCTGATATACAATATGTTAAAGGTAGGGAAAATGTTATTGCTGACACATTCTCCTGAATAGAAGTAGATTCTGTTTCTTGCTCACCTATTCTGGATTTCAAACAGTTAGCCTCAGCACAAGTCACAACCATGAATTACAACAATTACTAACTTCTAAATCTTCTTCTTTGAAGCTCTTCAAACAGCATTTTTGCTTGAAGATATTTATCTCTATTGTGACTCTACAACTAACAACTTCATTATGCAATGTCCCTCGTCTTTTCATTTAGACATATCATCTTCCAAAGTATACACAACCTTTCGCATCCAGGTATATCTGCCACTTCAACATTGATACACTTCAACATTGATACGCAGACATTACGTTTGGCCTAACATGCACACTTTTATCAAAAACTCTGTGGACGCTTGTGAGAAATGTCAACGTTCCAAGATACACAAGCATATGAAATCACCCATTTCGACATTTTTACTTCCTGATGCCAGATTTTCTCATATTCACATAGATTTTATTGGCCCATTACCAATTTCTGAAGGTTATCAGTATTGCTTGACCATAATCGATCGCTTCACGCGATGGCCGGAAGTAATTCCCACATCTGATATGTCGGCTGAAACAACTTGTAAAGCTCTAATTAGTGGATGGATAGCTCGTTTTGGATGCCCTTCCACTATCACTACTGACCAGGGTCGGAACTTTGAATCGCATCTTTTCAGGGAGTTCACGAACCTGCTGGGCACTCATCGTATTCGTACCACTGCCTATAGACCTCAATCAAATGGAATCATTGAACGTTTCCATCGCCACTTGAAAAACAGCATAAAATTGCAAGCGAATCCTTGCTGGACAGAATCGTTACCTCTTATACTTTTGGGTATTAGATCTTTCGTTAAAGACGACATCCAAGCAACTTGTTCTGATATATTTTGTGCTCAGATCAGCTTTCTCCACCATCCCCGACACCAACATATGTAAATAGTTTACGATCTATCATGCAATCTCTGATTCCCATCGCAATATCAAAATACTGTTCAGAGCCTATCCACATTCATCCATCTTTAAAATCGTGCTCTCACGTTTATTTGAGAATTGACTCAGTCAAGCCTCCTCTTCAACAACCATACTCAGGTCCTCATCCAGTCATTGAGCAATATGATAAAATCTTTATCATCTTCGTGCATGGTAAAAATCAAACTGTTTCAATTGATCGACTCAAACCTGCATTTTTCATTAGTGATAAAACCTTTGTCCCTAACACTAAACCTTCCAATAAGACAGACATCTTGAAACCTACCATGTCAAATGCTCCTAAAACTGTCACAAAATCCGGATATGTCAAATTCCATCAACACCTGTCTACCACCTACTATATATAACTTATATATATTGTTATTTATTCAATATTTCATTATGCAGTTTAATTTATTATGTGTTTTATATTGTACCTTTTACCTTCACATTTATCATTGTATAATATAAATTCTGTATATATATATATATATATATTGTGTATCGTTTGGTCTCCTTCACTGGGGGGATACTCTGTGGTGTTGCCATAGAAACACCATACGAAATTTTGTGAGTTCTGCGCATGCCCGCCTCGAGCGGCGGAGGTTGAGGAGAGAGCGGTGTGCATGAAGCGAGAATTTCCCTTCTCATCGGAATGTCATTATTATTGTATTAAATAAAGTTTATATATTTTATACTTGTGTCTTGCATCACCATGGAACCACTACAGTAACAAAAGTTCAAAAATAAGAATTATGACATTCAAAACGCAGAATGCTCTGGCTGGCCTACTGATGTTGAAGAAGTCTGAGCGATTGCCACCACTTTAATGAATCGGGCAAACCACTTCTCCTGGGCACTGAAAGGACTCTCCTGGATATTGTGCACAAAACTCTAATAACAACTGAAGATCAACACTCATGAACAAAATTTACAATTTTTCCATTTTTTCTCCAACTCCTACATAAGTATTCATTTCTATAAAATACGAGTAAAAGTGGTAGCTATTGTTTTTTTGCATATATTTTCTTAAACTTCCTTACTGTCATGCATATGAACTGTGAATTTAAACATTACTGACATTTTTGTAATGGTTCCTTAATTTCTGGGGGGAATAAAATTATAAATTAAAAAAATTCTACATTAAACTGTCACTCTCAAACTAGTTGTAGTAACAACTGACATTAACACTGCAATTCTAGAAGACTTTCAACAACATGATTTCAATAATATTAACCAAAAAATTTTAGACATTGTTCCCAATTTAAAAATTAGACTGCTACTGAATCAGTTTACATGTTGCAATTTAGAACACTTTACCCATATGAATCTGAAACATATAAGAAACCAATTAAAAATGCAGACACTTTTACTTACAGCAATCTTAATCTCTGTAAAACACTTTGAGGAAAAAGAGTTGGTGATAAACATAATAAAAGAGTTCTCCCTACTGCAGATTTTGCAAGATTATTCCCTTTTATAAGTAGTTTCTTTGATTCTGCTTATTTTACCAAAAATTAATTCACATGGTTACATACTTGCACTCATAATTTCTTGCTTAAACTGGAAGCTCACATAAAATTTCAATACAATGGATAAGTATTCTTAAAGACTTAATTCCAGATTTCTGCAAGTACAAATTATCTAGTAGAGACAAATCCAACAAAATTTACTTCCGCCCCCTAATGGCAGGCACTTGCATATAATAGTATTGGCCACTATTAAGGCCAGAAGTGGCACCTAATAGGTGGTCACCATTACCTCCTATGAAGGGATAGACAATTTTACATCCATGACTTCTCCGGGATTGGAACCCGAGCCCTTTGCTATTGAAGTCAGGCTTGCTTAACCACTATACTGTGTGGGAGGTACAAAATTTATTGTAAAATTAATTTCCGTCACCTTAAATTCAACAATATCAATTTCAACACAATCTTCAGAAACTGTCAAAAACACTTCCCTGCAAATAATGTTAAAGTTTTAACTGCCTTTAAATATAAAATCTTTGAGCAGCTTAATAGCTAATCATCATGACATTGATTCTGCAGCTACATATAACCGCCAGTCTCCAGTTTACATTGATTTCATTGATCTTCATCTCACACAAAATCTTAATATCATCAAAGATCCTCTGCTATGAAGTCTTATGCAAAAAAGTACCAAATTTAGACCAGTCATTACTTATCAGCAAAACCTCATGCATTAAACACATCATAGATAATGTTAATTAATTCATTCTCAAGGTTAGCTGCAGATTTAATCTGCCCATTTTTGCAGCCCGTTTTGGGAAAAGGAGTCTTTTATTCTGTCCTTACGTACAGATGTCACACAAAAACATCATTAAATTGCACTCAATAGTGGTCAAAATGGATATTTTTGTTGAAATATGACAACTGAATATTTTCACAATTACAATACTTTTTTACTTCGTACAAGGAAGTAAAAACATTTTTAATGCTGATGAAGCCAAGCTATTCGACAAGATGAGCCACAACAAGCATTTAAATTTTAAGACTAGTGATCAGCTGGTAAAAGGGGGAACAATATTAAAAGCATGAAATTACAGTTCCTGTGTGTGCCAATATGAATGCCACTGAGCCTTGCAGGCTTTTAATCATTGGAAAATTTCAAAAGCCAAGATGTGTGAAAAAGTATGAAAACTCATTCTGTTTCCCAGAAAGCTAACTGTAGAGCATGGATGACGCTGAAATTGTTTGAGGAATATCTAGAATTCTCAGTATCAAAACAAAAACTGACCAACATCGTACTGCATGCACAAATGTCAAAAACTTAGAATGGATTAACATGCTCAAGAATGCATCTTCAGTGCTGCCTAGATTGGATGAATCATTAAGCAATATAAAAAAGTGTTTAGGGCATCAAGGAAAGGGAACACCACAAAAAGAACCTTAGGTATTCAGGAAAGGGGTACCAAAAAATTTCTCATTGCCTGTTTTGCCATAGAATGCATAATGTAGCTAAACCCAAACTGAGAAACCTGTGTAAGCATATCTGGGGACATCAAAATTTTCAAGTGCCTAGGGGTCTCTGAAGGTCTTAAACTGGACCTGAGTGCTGCAATCTGTGGACCAGAGTGTGATCAGAAGCTTGAAGTGTCATCAGAGAAGGCATCTATCTCATTTTAAGCATTTCTGAGAAATACAGCAGTCAAGTAGTTTATAATATTTTAATTCTTGATGCAAATAAAGTTTTGGTAACTTGTTTAACAGTATAAATCATGGTAAATTGTTTTTGGTATTCTGGTCTAACAAAGTGCATTGAAGAAAGAGAAAGATGAGGGAGGACCAAGGATTTGCCAACTACAGTTAGGAAAAAAATGGCATTTTAATATTTTCAGAATGTGATGTGAGCTTTAGAGAATATGTGATGATAGAAATTAAAATCAGAAATGCTAATGTCAAAGATGTTTCTTCTGATGCTGAAGAAATGCAATGCACCTAAAGCTACTTCCTCCCCTGCAGATGCCAAAATTGTGATATGTATCATTAAAAAGTTTTATTCACACAAAACTGTAGAACCAAAAGTGAAGGATTCTTTTCATGCTTTGGATAAAAATATGGATAGCATTTTCTTGCATATATTCAACTGGCAAAAAATCAGAGATTATTTTTGTACTCAGAAGCTAACAATATTTATAATCAGTGAGATAATGCATTTTTGTTATTCGATCAGATATAGTGAACTAATTCCACTGTATTACACAAAGCAACACACATGATTCCACTGTATAACACAAAGCAACAATAAATGTCAGCACTAGATATAACCATTCATACCACTTAAAAGTTAAAGCATTTCACTACAGATAATAAGCATTCATAACTAGTTATATAGCTAAAAAGTAAAGGAAATAGTATATAGTTTGGAGTATTATAAACTTACCATTTCTATTTCTCTAGGATTTGTTCTTTTTAAACTTTCAAATGTTGTTATACCAGCATTTACTAATAAAGTGGACATAGCAACTCCTATAAAAATTCAAATAAAATTTAACAAGAAAAATTAATTTTATTTATATGTTTATAAATAAATACAGTGAAATACACATATGAATGAAATAAGCTTGGCTGTCATATTTGAGATTTAATTTCAGCCCTCTGCAAACAGGCTATTTACCAGATTGCATGGGAGGCAAATAAAAGATTTTGCCTTGTGAATTTTCAAATATTACTAGATCACATGGGTGATAGATGGTATGGTAGTATAAAGCAAGTAATGGCCCAAAGTATTTGGAAAGATTCTGCCAAAGACATTATTAATGCCAATTATTTTATTAACAACTATGAAACAAGTATAAAAATTATCTATTAGATGTAGCACAGATCACATGAATTACGTGTATTATAAATTATATCAATTAAAATTCTTCTAGAACATTAAAAAGCTGTTAAAACTGGTTAATTTGCCATGTCACATTGATAATAAATAAAAAATCATATTTTGGCAAGAAACTGGCAAATATTTTCTGAATGATGAATGACTTGGAAACATAATGTGATGACCATAAAAAGTAGATGATGTTAGATGCCATACAAATGATTATACTGCGCCAAGGTATATAATATACAATTTAAAAAATATCTACTATTAATATCATCTTAAGGATCTCATACAAATTATCTTTGATACATTAAAAAACCAAAAGAAAGATACAAATTATTATGAAGTATTTTATTACTTTTAAATTGTTGTTAAAACAATTACAGTTACAATGTTAAAGATAAAAGATCTTACACCACATCAAATGGCAACATTATGTGAACTGCTATTTGCAGGCTGTGTGGAAGTTTAGATAAGTTGCATCTTTGCAATGGCAGCAATCGCTCAATGTAATGATTCCCATTAAGAAATACAATGTAATGATTACAAAAAACTGGAAAGACTCTATTACAAACATTTTTAATGTAAAAATACACATATGTGTTTATGTGTGAGTGAAGAAGTATGTACGTTATAGTAAAAGCCCTAATATCTGGTAATAAATTAATTGGAAGTTTAAGTAATCAGAATATTTTACAGTTTTAAACTTTTTCATTTAAAAATTAAGCAAATGAAAGACTTGCAAAGCCATCATGATGAACATATAGTATTACTGCTCAAAATAAAGCTTACTTTAAAATGGGATTACAATATAACTGCTTTTTCTTTTTTTTTCTTTCTTTTAAGAAGATGCTGATTACACTCCCTACCATTGTCCTCATCTTACAGTTCTAAAAACTTATCACTGTAACTAGACTTTTCTCTTAGAAAGGGAATTGGTAAGGAGTTAGAGAACATATGGGAGATTCTAAAATTCTTGACAGGAATTTACCACAGCACAGATAGAATTTGGGAGTGACTGACAACTCTTTAAATGGAAACTAAACTAATTTCATCTCTTTTACAAGTGCCTATTTGAATTAATCGATCTTAAGTAGAATGCTTCACTGGTTTAAACATTTTGGATTATATTTTACATAACATTTTGGATTTTTAGTGTGACAGTATCTATTTTGATTAAATATTCATCAACTCTCTCAAAATTTTCTTTTGGATTATATTTTAATCATTTGGATTTTTTATGTGAATTTATTTTTGATAAAATATCTGAATTTAATAAAAATATGTGGATGCCACACAACTTCCTTGCATGGCCTATTAAATTATACACATTTTTGCTGCACTTCATTTAAATTTATTTCTTCGCGTAATAAATAAATAAATAAATAAAACACTGAACTTTGTGCAGAAACTGACTTTATTCTGTTAAGAGTTTCAATGTAAACAAATGGCCTCATTAGACCTAGTTCCACTTAAACTTTTAAACTATTGATAATTCTACAAGTATTGCATGCAGATTAACTAAAGGCATAAAAACCTTAACCGGATTATAAGAACAACATAATTCAATCACTTTTAAAACAAAAAATGCACAATTTACCAACATATAAAAAAAAAAAAAACACTGAGTTCACCAACCCAGGTAACATATTTGGAATATATATACATACATATATATACTTGGTTTGGCTAATTGCAACGAAAAAGGAAGGTGTATAGTTAATGTTATAGCAGTCCCATATAGAAAATTTTCAACGTTCTATGGTACTTGGTTTTTGAGTTATGCAAGATATATACAGATGTCTGTATGTAGAGATGTCACACAAAAAAATCATTCAAATGGATTTGAGAGCGGTGAAAATGGATATTTTCATTGATATGATATCCGAAATTTTTCGCGATTACAATACTTCCTTTACCTCATACAAGGAAGTAATAAACATGAAAGATTATTCAGCATTTAAAGGGCAAAAACATAAATTTTTAACAGTTACCCTGAAATTAAAATTAGGTTTGTTATTTCAATGCATCTCAATGTCAATTTTAGCAGATACTAATGAAATATTTGCTTGACAAATTCGACTAGTACAACTTGGATCACACATATTAAACTTATTGGTGATCAAGCACCATCAAACATCTGCCTGTGATATATGAAAATCAAAAGAATGCTTGCATGGATAAAGATTTCTTTCTTCCTGGTACACAAACATTTTTCTGCCATCAGTCGTGAAGTGATGTGAAAACTAAAGGAAAATCCGAAGATAGTCAAGGTGTTTTATTTATTTATAAACTGCTGAGCATATTCTAGCAAAGACAAATTGATTTGTAGCTGTATCAGAACTATGCTTCTTCTCCTGAACCTAGTGCTTTGATACAGCCAATGGATTAAGGAATTATTCAGAACTTAAAAAAAAATAATCTATCATAAAAATTTTATGAACCGACTTGTGAATAGTGAAAGTTCCCTAATAGAATATGTGTATGAATTTCTAATAAAAGATTTCATTTACAGGTTTGTGAATACTTGGAATTCTAGCAGTAACTGGACAGTGAAAAATTTTACTATCTATTAAGTTCTATTTGGATTCATTTGATGAAGAAACAAGGATTTTAAAAATGGAAGAACAATGCCTAAAAATATTAAAAGCCATAATATGTATAAATAAATGTGAAGAATTCATGTCTAGGCTAGGAACATTCGAAACAGAATAATGAATTGACTGAGACAAAAATGTGCTTGAAAAAGAAATGTTAACAGAAGATTATTTAATTAAAAATGCATTGTTTCTTTCAAAATGAAAAAAATTGTGATTCATAAACAAGCTGAAGAAGAAACAGAAACAAAACATATTTCTTTTGCTACAGAAAGAATATGACATTTTTGAAGTTTATGAGAAAAACTATCTATATACAGAAAAAAAGTTTCCAAACTCATCTCATTAGAGAAAGATTTACAAAAAAAGGAAACTTTTACTGAAACAAACAGGCATTCATAATTTATTCATTCAAATGCCAACTGATCAATGCAATATTATTATATCAAAGATTTAAGCATCCTATTTATTGTAGGAAAATGCAACATAAAAATAATTCTGAGTTCTATTAAATACATTTTGAGTAACTATCTTACATTTATTTACAACTGATTTGCTTCATTTTTGTATAATACATTGGCTCTTATGTCTGAAATGTATTTAAAAAATAATTTGATGCGGCCAGCACATGACTTTCCACCAGTTTCATGTTAAGATATAGAAATGGAGGAATAGAAACAAGCTTTAAGCACACTGTCACTTTCAGTTGATCATTTGTAAATAAAACCTAAATTGTTTATACATTTTATGGCTCAATATTAATTGACAATGGCTCAATATTAATGAAAAAATGAAAAGTGAGTAGTGTTTATACACTACTCACTTTTCATTGTTTTATTCTTTAAGGTGACCAATCATCCTCCTTTGGTAGGATCTGTCCTTCTACAAGAAGTGTCCTCCTTTTCAATGTTTTACAATTAATCTGTTTATTTGTGTATTATTTAAAGATGCTGCGTTGAAATGTTACATGTCAATCATCATCTGATGGTGCAGTTCGAAAAAACATGATTATAAAATGCATACACAGCACATTCTGGGCATATCAAAACTTCACGCAGCCACACGTCTCGCACCCTCACACTTTTGTGCACTTTACTTTGTTCATTTTAATGTGTCTATAATAAAGTTCGTGTTTACATCTGATGCAAATACGAATTTCTTTCTTTCACTGTATAATTATTATACTCAGGTAAGTGCCTTGCTAAGCAGAATTCACGTTTCATTTGTTCTTTAATATAATTTTATTATATAACTCTGTTTTCAACACAAGTACAAAATAATTTAAAATTTAAATATAGATTTAGTAAAGTTTTATAGTTTTTGTTATTAAAGATTATACAATACGAGGGGTGATCCGAAAAAAGTTTACATGGCAAAAAAGTATTTATTAACAATAGAAACAAGATACAAATGGGAATCAAGAGACACACCTGGCCTTCACTTTTCTACATAGTCGCCAAACCTGTTTAGGCATTTGTCAGAACGTTCGACCAATTTGTTTTCCTGTCTTGGTAGTAATCAGAGCCATTTCTCGGCAGCTGTTTTCACTGCATCGTCTGAGGTGAACCGTGTTCTGGATAAGTATCGCTTCAACGCCAGAAAAATGAAATAGTCACTTGGAGCCAAATCGGGGCTGTATGGGGGTGATTCCAGACCTCCCACTTGAACCTTTGCAGCAACTCCTGAGTCTGGTGAGCTGTATGGGGGCATGGCATTGTCATGCAGAAGAATGAAGCCTTTGCTCAGTTATCCAGGCCGTTTGCGTAGGATGGCTTTACGCAATTTCGTTAAGGTGGCACAATAATGATCAGCCTTAATGGTATAGCCACACTCCAAATACTCGATTAGGATAACACCAGTCATATCCCAGAAAACAGTTGCCATCACTTTACCGGCAGAGGACCTTAAACTTCTTCCTTGTCGGTGATCCAGCGTGTTTCTACTCCATCGTGGCTCTTTTGGATATGGGGGTGAAGTGATGAAGCCATGCTTCATCACCGGTAATGATGTGATCAGTGAAGTGTTGGCCATCTGAATGGTATCGCTGAAGA